GGATCTCTGTGAGTTCGAGGCCAGCCTGGGCTACCAAGTGAGTCCCGGGAAAGGGGCAAAGTTACACAGAGAAACCCTGTATCGAAAAACCAAAAAAAAAAAAAAAAAAAAAAGGAAGAAAAAAGAGAGACTCCATCCCTAGATGTGGTCTGAGCACATTCTGTTCACAAAGGATAAAAATTGGAAATAGATAAAGGGAAAAGCCATGCTAAAAGCCATGTTAAGTAGCTGACCTCGCTTATTACTGAGGAAGGAGAAGAAAGTTTTGTAGCGACCCTAGATGGTAGTGACTGGAACTTACAGGCTTGTGTCTGAGGAAAAAATGCTTCCTAGAGCACGTTTCCAAACCTCTGCAGTTAGACTAGATGATCTCCTAACTGAACTCAGGACAAGAGGTCTCCTTCCCGTTGCAGAGACTACATCCTCCCTCACCCACTCTCCTCTGTTGTGGAATATTACCTGAACTAGGCAAAGATGTGTTACATTTGTTATGCTGCAGAATGTTACTAACTATGTGAAGGTGTGTTACAGCTGTTTCTGCTGCCTTTGTTAACCATGTAAAAACGTGTTACATTTGTTTAATTACTGAAGACCTGTTGCATTTGTTTTACCCTGCCTGCCTGCCTGCCTAAGGCACCTGATTGGTCTAATAAAAAACTGACCAGCCAATAACTGGGAAGCAGAGAGAATAAATCGGAGGAGAAATCTAGGCAAAAGAGAGAAGAGAACAGAGGGGCACACCCCAGACCAGAAGCCAGGCACCTGCCAGCCAAACTTGGATACAGCAGGAAAGTAAGATACACAGAAAGAAAGAGAGGTAAAAAGTCCTGAGGCAAAATGTAGATAAGGAGAAACAGGTTAAATAAGAGCTAAGCTAAGGCCGAGCATTCAAAACTAGTAATAAGTCTCTGTGTCGTGATTTGGGAGCTGGTTGGTGGCCCAAAAGAAAAAGCCTGCTGCACACCTCTGCTCAGGGAATTGCTTGTTTGCATTTAGTTGGGAAGGGGAGAGATCTTGATTCCTCTCAAAACTATTAATTACCTTCTCAAACAAGCAACTATTACCCCATAACGATGCACAGCTATTCCATCCAGGATCCCAAGGACATGGTGGAGTCCAACTCGTTGTTCTTATGGTCTGACCCACATATACCCCTTGACTGATAGTTTTACTCAGTAGTCCTGTGAGATTGAAGTGGATGGAAATGTTTATCAACAAAGACTAGAATCCTCCTGTTTGTTCAAGACAAGATACCAGTTTCTATGATCCTGAAATAGATGAGGAGCCTATTGTCCTGGGGTGGAGGTTGGGGAGAACAATGTCACAGGGATGAAGAAACTATTCTAATGGTGTGGTTAAGTGTCGTAACAGAATGTGCCCTTAGGTATGGTGTTCTGAGCTGAGCCCAAAGCCACCCAGGCCCAGCTTAGAAGAAGGTCTCTGGAGTCTACCAAGCTTCTCACTGCAGTTTTAGAGGCTGCACCTCCCCTGGGAAGAATGCTTCCTCCTGACCCCAGGTCAGTATTACTTCTGTCTTTCTCAGAGGTCACAGGGTGAAGGCAGCGCTTCCCTTCCAATGACTCTTTCCTGTGGTGGGTGTTCAGGCCACGGCTTTGAGAACCAAGGCACAAAGAGGAAGGGGGGGGGACCCTAAGCAGGTGTACATTTCCAGAAGCCCATCCTTGGAGTGGTGCTACACTTCCTGTGATAGTCAGCAGGAGCCACCAGAGCTATGCCCAGTCGATGTGCCCACTCTCGGGACACACAGGGACACGGACACACACCTACTGGCAACTCCCCAAAGCTTGCTTGTTGTGGAAACATTTTCTACTTGCTATACCCCTCAGGAAAGAGAAGTTTGGAGACAGCTGTGTAAAAAAGGATAGGAGAGGGCTGGAGAGATGGCTCAGTGGTTAAGAGCATTGGCTGCTCTTCTAGAGGTCCTGAGTTCAATTCCCAGCATCCACATGGCAGCTCACAACCATCTGTAACTGTGGTCCTGTAGGATCTGATGCTGTCTTCTGGTGTGCAGATGTACATGCAGACAAAAACATCCATATACATAAAATAAGGATATCTTTAAAAAAGAAAAAGAGATGGGTCATTTTCTTATGAATTATTATAGCTGAGCTACTGAACTAACTACTATGTATATCAGAAGGAATTCACACATACACAAAAACTTAAAACATTATTTTGAAACTATAAAAATTCCATTCTGTATTCCCATACTGCAAGGAATTACCTTGCATAGTCCTGGGTGCGTCTCTACTTGGGAAATATTATGCCCCCTTCCCCAGTCTCAGCCTCCATACAACATCTCAACGGGTAGCTCTGTCTCGTGCTCAGAACCAAACGGAGATGTTCTAACGTCTTGGTTTCTTTTCAACCACAAGACACGGCCCAAAGGCTGCTCTACCATCCAAGGTCACCCCACTCAAGCCTGCCCTGCACTCAGACTGCTCACCTGGAAGAGGGCCCTAGACCTATCTGTGAAGCAGCCTCCTTGCCCCATCCCAGGACCAGCATCCACACTTCTCTCTGTCTCCTGGTTCCACTTTTTTCTTATCAGGGTGGGAAGTTGTAACAACAGTTCTGTTGAAATCTTATTCCAGCCACACGTGTGTGAACACTAAGCCAGTTATTACACAGCTTTGCTGAGCCTCAGTTTCCCCATCTGGACAATGTGGATGCCGACCTCCTCCACCTTACTGGAGGACAGCTGTGGAGTGGCTGCCACAGCGTCAGCACACAGAAAACGATCCTTAAATGCAGGCCCCTTCTAGAAGTTTGGACGGCTTTAGCTAGGTGCCACGGGGACAAGTGGGTGGCTCATCCCTTTCTCAGGCCATCTGATGTGCCGCCCTGACTGACCGACCCCAGGTCCTCCCAGAGCAGGCGGAGTCCACCCAAGCACTTCTGAAGTGTGTGGTCTGAAGAGCATGTCCTCTTCCCACGGCCCACACACCTTTGAGAAGAACCTTGTCCAGCCACATCTGTGCCACCCACTTCTCTCCTCTTCCCCCTTCGGGGCCCCAGCTTAAAGAAATGAACTGGAAACAACTCGTGTACTTTCTTGCTGATGTTTAGACACTTCTCATCACAACCTAATCTAACCCTACGCTTACCTAAGCTCGATGGAGGTACTTTTACTAATTCATCCTAATCCTTTATGAATTGGGCAGCAGACACTGGACCCGAAACAGCTTAGTGGTTCTTCCTTCCTTTTATGGAGACACTGCCTCACAAACTTTCCTAGGCTGGCCCTGAACTCACAATGCTCTGCCTCCCCAGTGCTGGGATTACAGACATGCAACACCACACCTAGCTGTTCAGCAATGCTTGACAACAGCTGTCAGGAATGTCCAAAGGCCAGGACCTTCTGGTTTGCAAAGAACACCAGCATCCTCCATTCTGGGAAAATTGGTCCATGAATCACCTGTGATAGGGGAGGCTGAGAAATGCAGAGGTTCTATTCTACTCATTAAAAGAAAATTAAAGTTAAAAAAACCCTTTTCCACAGACAAGAGGTGGCCTCTTAGCAAATATTTCTTGAAACATTAATTATTCCATTCCTTAAATACCTATTCCCATTAGACTGTGGAGTGCTTTGAGGACAGTGGCAGTCTCACTGAGCGGTGACTCCAGCACTCAGAGAAGTGCCTTCCATCAAGAAGTACTCAGTAAACACGGGGTGCAGAACCTCTGAGGACAGGTCCACGCAAACATTTTACTAAGTTTCAGGGAACTGGGGTTGAGACGAGTGTCTTCCAAAGAAATGTGGGATAAAGGCTTGGTTCTCAGGGTGCCACTATTGAGAGGTGGCACATCTTTCAGACAGTGGGTCTAGCCCAGAAGTCGGAACATCTGAACACAGAAAACAGAAAAGCATGCTTAGGGTTGAGGATACAGCTCAGCATACAGCGCCTAGTGTGCATACAGCCCTGGATTCAATCTTGCATACAGGGATGGAAAAAGCAAGAAGACTGTGCCAGGCCACATACACCTGTAATTCCAACACTCAGAAGGCTCAGGGAGACAGGATTGAAGCAAGTTCAAGGCTAGCCTGGGCTACTGGGCTTTGTAGTGAGGTTTTGTCTCAAAACAAAATAATAATAATGAAAAAGAAGGGGGAAGAGAAAGGGAAAAAGTCAGGCACAGTGGTGCATGCCTGTAATCCCAGCATTTGGGCTTACTTGTAGATGCCTGGCCTTAGCTTGGCTTGTTCCTAGCCAGCTTTTCTAACTTAAATTAACCTGTTTCTCTTTAATGACACTTTGTCTCTGGACTTTTTACTTTTCTTTATTCTATGTATCTTTCCTTCTTACTCTGTGGCTGGCTATGTGGCTGGGTGGCTGGCCTCGCGTCCTCCTCTCTTCTCCCTCCTCACTCTTCTTTAGATTTCTCCTATTTATTCTCTCTGCATGCCAGCCTCATCTATTTCTCTCTCCTGCCTAGCTCTTGGTTGTTCAGCTCTTTATTAGACCAGTCAGGTTCTTTTAGGCAAGCAAAGTAACACAATTTTACAGAGTTAAACAAATGCAACATAAAAGAATGCCACACGTCTTTGCATCATTAAACAAATATTCCACAGCACAAACAAATGTAACACATCTTAAACTAATATTCCACAACAGATCTCTGTGAGTCCATAGCCAACCTGACCTACATAGTGAGTTCCAGGATAAATATGGGTATGTAAAGAGAGACCTTGTCTCAAAAAAAATGGGAGTGGATCGGCTGAAGAGATGGCTCAGTGGTTAAGAGCACTAATGTTCTTTCAGAGGACCCAAGTTCAGTTCCCAGCAATTACATTCAGTGGCTCACAAGTGCCTTTAACTCTAGTTCCAGGGGATACGACACCATCTTCTGGTCTCTTCAAGCAACTGCACTCATGTGTAAAAAGCTACACACACACACACACACACACACACACACACACACACACACACACACAATTTTAAATATCAAAACTTTTTTGATGGAGCAATCAGACCTGTACACATAGCTCAGTCTAAGTCCTTTCTGTACAAAGAGGACCTTAGTTCCATCCTAAGCACCCATGTATAATCAGGTATGGTGGCACATGCTTTTAAGTCCAGTTCTGGGAGGGCAGAGACAGGAGAATCCCTAGGGCTCACTGGCCAGACAGTCTAGCCAACTCAAACCACCTTAAGCAAAAAAGAAAAGTTCCTTGATGGTCCCTGGGGCAGCTTATAAGGGAGACACCTCAGCTTAGGGCCAAAAACCCTCTGAGGCTCCGGCACCCTACCCCCAGCACTCTCCCCAGCTGAGACTATCTTGCTCAAAGAAACAGAGTAACTTGTCCATAAAATGCAAGAGGCCATGCCAAGCTTGGAACCCAGGGCTGTCTTGGAACCAAAGCCTCTACCTCACCTACCAGAGTGAAGTGGGAAAAGTTCCTGAGAAACAGACAAGATGGAGGAGGCATAGGAAAGAGCAGGAGTTAGAAGACCAGCAAGGCACAAGCCTGCCGAGCATGGGCAGCTGCTGGATGAGGGACCAGAAGATGATGCAGGGACAGACAGGCATGTGTCTAATGGGGGAGCACTTCTAAGAGACCGGGTTGCTTCTGATAGGTGTTTGCCCTGAGCTTCTGCTTCATGCCCCTCAACCCTTGGGCAGATCTCCTGATTTCTCTCAACTTGCATCCTTCAACATAAAGGGTTAATAAGGCTTAGAAGTGTGACGTAAGTAACACTAGAGACTTCCTGTCAGGTTGTTTTACTGGAACACCAGACCCCCCACCAAGCACAAGAATGATTATCAGTTATTGATTTAAAAGAACTATATATTCATACAGAGATTATTGATAATGACACAGGAGATAAGTCCCTTGATTCTTGAAGCAGCCCATGAACATTAAACATGACAAGTCCACCCACTTGACACCCACAGACAGACTGGACCAAACTGAAACCCAGCAGAGCCAACTCCAGTTCCTGCCCCTATTAGGCATCTGGGGCTCATAAAAGCATCATCCAGACTCCAACAGTCCTGTCCCTCCGGCTCTGCTTCCTGAAGCACACCTCATCTCTCTCCTTGGCCAGCTCCATATCTGAAGCTTTCCTCTAGCCAGAAATAAGAGCAACTAAGCCCTACCCCCTCGTCCCACACTGCCAGAACTGGACAGTTCCTGAAATAAGCCAAGGCCTGCATCTGAAGGACTGAGAAAGAGTCCTAGTTTGGAACAGGACAGCCTAGATGTCCACAAGGACACATCACTGAAGCTCTGTGGTCCTCGCTGAGTGTGGGGTTCAGGGTTTAGAACTAGGCTCGCATCTAGTTGGGATATATCATAGCTTGTTTCAAATGGAGTGTGGTGATATGTGTCTTAATCCCACCCAGCACTTAGGAGGCAGAGGCAGGAAGATCAGTTCCAACTTCTCCGTGGCTACATAGTAGGTTGAGGCCAGCCTCATGACCCTGTTTCAAAACACACACACACAACCACACACACACACACACACACACACACACACACACACACACTCATAACCTGTTAGCATGTGGGGTATCTACCCCCCTAACAACTCCTCCAGCCTATACTATGAAATTTTATCCTGGAAATCTCACTTATTTTTCTAGCTTTTGGCTACCTAGGACTGTGGCTCTGGTCTCACCGAGCTCCAGAGCTGCTGTGCACACTCAGATCACCCTGGCCCTGAGTTCTCACCCCTTCCCTGAGAACAGGACTTACTAATGAGAGGGTGAACATGAGATCAGTGGAGAGGAGCGGAGAGAGGCACCCACACAGAGGGGTTCATCGCGTCCACTGCCCACTCTATGCCAAGAGCTATCTGGTGGCTGAGCCGCATGACTAGACCGATCTTGGCATCAGTCTCCTGCTGGAGGCATAATGAGCCCCATTCCACAGATGAGACTGTGGGGGCTCACCAGGAAGTAGAGTCCCTTGATGAAGTTCACACAGCCAAGAGCGAGTGAGGCCAGGGCTCCTACTGTCCCTTCCCTAGGGGTAGGGTGGTCACAGGGGACCATGCCATGTTTCACAATTTGGTCTAGACACGCAGCAAGGTGGAAGGTGACAGGTCCACACTGAGCTTCTTCGGCCTGACAGCAGTGAGTGAGTGTGTCACTTAAGAAGCCAAGATTCCTCTCTCCACAGGATTCATCAGGTCCCTCCCAGGGGCTCCACACAGGACAGGGAGAACCAGGGATCCAATCCCACGGCCGCCCTAGTCCTAGACGCCAGAGCAGACATACTCAGCCTCCACAGCGACCCTGCAGGAAGATTGCCCTCGGATCAGCGTGGTGAGTAAGGAAGGTGTCTCTCAGCATTGGCCTCTGCTGACCCCAGAAATAGCCCCTGGGAAAGACACTGCCCACTCACAAGCCCAGAGACAGCTCTTCCCCAGGACCTATGATCTTGGAACAAAAAGGTCCCTGGCCCCAGGAGCCTCCCACCTTTACCACCCACCCCTCTGGGCCCCTGGAAGACGCCGAGCCTTAGTCAGGACAATAGGTAGGCCATGTGCTTACACCCCCATACTCTCTCTGTCCCCAATTCCTGGGTCAGGACACAGGTGCAGCAGGGAGTCGGGTTGGGGCGGGCCTTAGAGGACAAGGTCATGAATCCACAGAAGTATAAACGGCCTCTGAAGTCCTGGCCAGAGACCCCTTGCTGTGCCTCGTTGTGCCTACCCAGCACTATGGTAATATCTGGTGGCTAAGTGTGGGACGGATCGTCATCTGTGCTCTCCGGGAGCTGGGGAATGGAGGCTGGCACCAAGGGCCCCTCCGCAGGCCCGCTAAGGGCGTGAAAAAGTGAAGCCATTCTGATGGCCAGGACAGCTGTCATAGAGAGCTTCCTGTCCCTGCTTGAGGTGGTGCAGATGAAGGGAATTCTGTTAAGAGAGATTTCAGGGGCTCGGGGTTTAAAGGAAGTGTCCTATTTGGGGTGTCATACTCTCTCTCTCTCTCTCTCTCTCTCTCTCTCTCTCTCTCTCTCTCT